TAACCCTCTTTCAGCCCTTGATCTCTGCAAAAAATGCAAGAAACTGTCATGAAAATCACAGCGCAGTAAGAAAAATAATTGTTTTGCGGCGCACAGTGACTCCGGGTAATTAAAAATTCACCTCTCCCTTCCTAATTGAGATTAAGAGATGAAAATGGGCAGTTCGACGGAGAATTAAATTCTCCATCAATTAACCTTCTTTCATCTCTTAATCTCTGTAACAAAAAAATATAAACTACCATGAAAGTCATGGGCCAGTGAGAAAAATAATAGTTTCGCGGCGCACAGTGACTCCCGGTAATTAAAAATTCACCTCTCCCTCCTAATTGAGATTATGAGATGAAAAAAGAGCAATTCGACGGAGAATTAAATTCCCCATCAATTAACTCTCTTTCATTCCTTAATCTCTGTAACAAAAAAATATAAACTGCCATGAAAGTCATGGGCCAGTGAGAAAAATAATAGTTTCGCGGCGCACAGTGACTCCCGGTAATTAAAAATTCACCTCTCCCCTCCTAATTGAGATTAAGAGATGAAAAAAAGGCAATTCGACGGAGAATCAAATTCCCCATCAATTAACCTTCTTTCATCCCTTGATCTCTATTAAGGGATGAAAGAGGGTTAATTGATGGATTAATAGAGATTAAGGGATGAAAGAGGGTTAATTGACGGGGAATTGAATTCTCCTTCGAACTCCCGTGTTTCATCCCTTAATCTCAATTAGGAGGGGAGAGGTGAATTTTTAATTCGCGGGTGAATGGTGAAAAGTCAATTTAGGTCGCTAAAAATTATTTTTCTTACTGTCCCCTGACTTTCTTGGCCGTTTATATTTTTTTGTTACAGAGATTAAGGGATGAAAGAGGGTTAATTGACGGGGAATTGAATTCTCCTTCGAACTCCCGTGTTTCATCCCTTAATCTCAATTAGGAGGGGAGAGGTGAATTTTTAATTCGCGGGTGAATGGTGAAAAGTCAATTTAGGTCGCTAAAAATTATTTTTCTTACTGTCCCCTGACTTTCTTGGCCGTTTATATTTTTTTGTTACAGAGATTAAGGGATGAAAGAGGATTAATTAATGGAGAATTCAATTCTCCGTCGAACTGCCCTTTTTTCATCCTTCAATCTCAATTAGGAGGAGAGAGGTGAATTTTTAATTCGCGGGTGAATGGTGAAAAGTCAATTTAGGTCGCTAAAAATTATTTTTCTTACTGTCCCCTGACTTTCTTGGCCGTTTATATTTTTTTGTTACAGAGATTAAGGGATGAAAGAGGATTAATTAATGGAGAATTCAATTCTCCGTCGAACTGCCCTTTTTTCATCCTTCAATCTCAATTAGGAGGAGAGAGGTGAATTTTTAATTACCGGGAGTCACTGTGCGCCGCAAAACAATTATTTTTCGTACTGGCCCCTGAATTTCACGGCAGTTTTTATTTTTTTGTTACAGAGATTAAGGGATGAAAGAGGGTTAATTGATGGGGAATTTAATTCTCCGTCGAATTGCCGTTATTTCATCCCTTAATCTCAATTAGGAGGGGAGAGGTGAATTTTCAATTCGCGGGCGAATGGTGAAAAGTCGGTGTGTGCGGCGAAAGAATTATTTTTCTTACTGGCCCCTGAGTTTCATGGCGGTTTATATTTTTTTGTTACAAAGATTAAGGGATGAAAGAGGGTTAATTAATGGAGAATTTAATTCTCCGTCGAACTGCCTTTGTTTCATCCCTTAGTCTCAATTAGGAGGGGAGAGAGAAATTTTTAGTTCGAGGGCGAATGGTGCAAAGTCACTGTGTTATCATTAATAGAAAAATTTATCATTAATAAAAAAATCTATCATCGATCATTCTTCTATTATTAATAATTTTAATACTGATCATACACTATGAACAAAAATATTATCCATCAATGGTATTTTCTTATTGTCATGGCGAAGAATGAGCAAGGGAGACAGAGAGAGAGAGAAAGAGAGAGAGAGACAGAGAGAGAGAGACAGAGAGAGAGAGAGAGAGAGAGAGAGAGAGAGAG